TCCCTCCTTCCCTCCTTCCTTCCATCCCCGCCGGCTCCCACCCTGCGGCCCTCCATGGCGGGGCCTGCGGCGGTGCGGCGGCCCCGGGGCCCGGGCTGCGGGTCGCTGCTGCTGCCGGCGCTGCTGGTGAGCTGGGCGGCCTGTCAGGCCCCGCCGGTACCGGCGGCCGAGCCCCCCTGGGACGGCACCGACCTCCGCGTCGAGCGGCGCTTCGTCCCCGAGAGCTGCCCGCGGGCCGTGCGGCCCGGGGACTTCGTGCGGTACCATTACCTGGGCGCCTTCCCCGACGGCACCCGCTTCGACTCCAGGTCTGCTTCGTGGGGGGCGCCTGGGGGGCCGGGAGGGCCACCCCCACACCCGGGGTGCCTCTCTCCAGCCCCTCGGTTCCTCTGGGGGGGCTCTTTGCGGGGGGGGCATCAGGGTGTTGTGGGGGTGCTCGGAGATGGTGGTGCAGGGGGGAGGCGGCCGTTCGGGTCCCCGCTTCGACTCCAGGTCTGCTTCGTGGGGGGCGCCTGGGGGGCCGGGAGGGCCACCCCCACACCCGGGGTGCCTCTCTCCAGCCCCTCGGTTCCTCTGGGGGTGCTCTTTGCGGGGGGGGGCATCAGGGTGTTGTGGGGGTGCTCGGAGATGGTGGTGCAGGGGGGAGGCGGCCGTTCGGGTCCTGTCGCTTGTTCTGGTTCATCAAGGGCAAGTGCCGGGTCCTGCCCTTGGGTCCCACCAACCCCCTGCAGCGCTCCAGGCTGGGGGCAGAGTGGCTGGAGCTGCCTGGCAGAAAAAGATCTGGGGGTGTTGGTCGCCTGTGGGCTGAAGATGAGCCAGCAGTGTGCCCAGGTGGCCAAGAAGGCCACCAGCATCCTGGGCTGTGTCAGGAACAGCGTGGGGAGGAGGACTCGGGAGGTGCTGGTCCCCCTGGACTGGGCACTGGGGAGGCCCCACCTCGAGGGCTGTGTCCAGTTTTGGGCCCCTTCCCACAAAAAAGACCTTGAAGGGCTGGAGCGGGTCCAGAGAAGGGCAAGGGAGCTGGTGAGGGGTCTGGAGCACAAGTCTTGTGAGGAGAGGCTGAGGGAGCTGGGGGTGTTGAGCCTGGAGAAAAGGAGGCTGAGGGGAGACCTTCTGGCTCTCTCCAACTCCCTGAAAGGAGGGTGTAGCCAGGGGGGGGTCGGTCTCTTCTCCCAAGGAACAGGCCATGGGACAAGAGAAAATGGCCTCAAGTTGCCCCAGGGGAGGTTCAGATTGGAGATTAGGAAAGTGTTTCCATGGAAAGGTTTCTTAAGCCTTGGCCTGGGCTGCCCCGGGCAGTGGTTGAGGCCTCATCCCTGGAGGGATTGAAAAGCCGGTTTGACCTAGTGCTTAGAGACATGGTTTGGTGATGGTTTTGATCAGAGTGAGGTTGATGGTTGGACTCAATGATCTGAAAGGTCCCTCCCAACCTGGACAGTTCTATGATTCTGGCTGTGGCCCTTGAGCCCTTTTGGGGTGACCAGCTGTAAGTTTGCTGGCAAGCTGGACAATGCCACATGAGCAAGAACACAGGATGTACAGGCCACCATGGGAAGATGTCTTTGAAACATGACGAGGCAAAGGGCTGAGGTGTGGGGGCTGGGGACAATACCTCTGGGGTGGCTGGCTCCAGTTTGCAATAGTTGGTGAGCCCTGATGGATTCCCCACCACGTTCTTCCAGCAGCTGCTCCAAAGGGCTGAGCAGGAGGTTTCTGCTGGGAGCGGGACGACCGCGGGGTGTTGGGTTAGCCTGGTAAACAGGAGCCTGTGCTGTTAGTGATTTCCTGCCCGTTTCCTTCATACGGTTCCCGTGTCTCCTCTGGGCTCAAACCCACTCGAACGCAAACATTTCTGAACCATCGTGTTTGCCAAAAATATAGGAATTACCAGGCTGTGCTTCCACAGAAATTTTTGGATAAGTTGCCGCTGAGTAAATGTGACCGATGCGCCGTGAAGCGCCCAGCAACTTTCCTGCTGTTATTTTGGGATCAGGAAGCCTAAATGCTGGGGTCAGGAGATCGGGAAGGATGCTGATGCTGCTGACGGCTTATTTGTTTTTTCTTGCCTAATTCATCACCACTGATCAAAGCGGCATTAGGGGTGAAAAAACCAAAATGTGTTTTCAGTAAATCCTGGTAATCTGCCCTGTGCTTCAAGGGAAATCTGTAGCCCCGGGGGAAAGAGCTGTCTTTCAGAACAAGTTCAGCTCTTCCTCGGGAGGGGACTGGGCTCCCGTGCTCCGGCGGTGACACTTCCCTGGACAAAGGGAGGGACAGGGTGGTTTGGGTGCCTCCACCACGCTGTTGGTGCAGTCTTGGTGACAAAGCACCGGCAGGACCGTGAATTCATCGGCAGCCGACAGCCTCGGGAAATAAGTCCGAGCTGGGGATGTGAGGAAGCCCAAGGGCAGTGCCCTCACAGCTGGATTTCCAAGTGTGAAAACCATGGGGAAGCCAGCCCTGCTGCCCCATCCCTGCAGGGGGGCCCTGGGGCTCGACCCCACAAAGTTCTGCAAAGCCCAGGCAGAGCTCCCGGAGGGGCTGCTCGGGGGCTGGCTCTCCTTTCATTCCAAGGTGGGATTTGTCTCTGAATTGCTTGGGGCAGGAACAAGCTGTGCAGAACTGTGTGTTTGTGGCTTTACATCCCCTAAATACCAGTAAATAAATAATAACGATGATAGTCTAATCTAACTTGGGTATTTGTATGGCTGTCTTCATTTCTAAAGGGTGTAAAAAGTCAGGTGTGTTCATCTTGGGGTTTTTTTTCCTAGGTGGCAGGTCCTGTTGACAAACTTTTTTGTTATTCGCTAACAATGGTCTTTTTTTTTAAGATTGGTGTCAGTGATCTTACATGTTAAGAAAATGGATAATTAGGAGGTGTTTGTGTTCTGTAGGTTAATTGAAGAAATATTTTGCTGTATTTGTCATGAAATCTTCAGTGTTCACTGCAGACAAGTTAAAGATAGTCAATTTGGATTTAAATTAACCTATTGGAATGCCTATTTTTTAACCTGTCAAGGGTTGCTACCTGGTTTTGTTTCTTTAAGTTTATGAAAGTGCAGTTTAGTCAAACACCACTATGAAATGGGTCTAGAAAATACTGCAGGTGCTGAACCAGGGGCAATTTGACTTCATTCCTTCTTCAGCTGCTGAAAATGTTCTTGAGGTTTAAAATGTTTTTTCTGTATTTCCATGTAGCAGGTAGTGACACAGCTCTTCCCATTAACGGGCTGCCGAGAGTCCTCGTAACCATGACTGTGTCACATAAATTAACTAATGTGCCTGTTTATTTTTCTTTTTTTCCCCATCAGTATTTGCATTGTTAAGTCTGAATTGACTTGCCTGGTCATCTGCTGTGAATTTGGTGAATTCCTCCAAGAGAAACTATTTGTGATTAGTTTTAAGAAATCTGCAGAGCTGCGTGATCCCTTGACTGCTGTGTTCAGTTCTGTGCTGAGCATCAATGCGTTCGTAATCGTAGGTTTATTTTTGGCAAGGAAAAAAGCTCTTTTGTTTTTAAGTATAGTCGTGTCCCCCCCAACCCCCGCAATGTATTGCCAAGCTTTGTCAATTGCTGCAAAGTACCACTTTTGGGGGGTTCTTAGAACCTATTATTTTGTTAGTCTTAACATCTTCGTTGTGGTTTTGTGTGTATAAAAGAATTTGTCAGGAGCTAATTGAAATATTTTCCGTCCATGCCTGGGGAGTAGGCATATTTGTGCAACTGAGAGTGAATGCTCTGTAGAGAAGGTTGCCTACTTTAAGGGAAATGTTTGCCAGATTAAAAAAACCCAACTAAACAACAACAAAAAAAGATGGAGCAAACAGAGAGATCACTCAGTGAAATATTTGAGGGATTGGAGGCTCTGGGGCTGTTAGGAGGCTCAGTGTGTTGTGGAAGTGATGTGTATAGTCTTCGAAGGAAAGTTTGACATCATTTCCCCAGTGATATCTTGCTACTGGCAGCTTTCCTGAATATTTTAGCAGACAAAGAAGCACAAGCTTTTTTTTTTTTTTTTTAATTATTTTTTCCAGTGGTGCCTTCTATCCGGAAAAGAAATCCGTTAAGTTCTAAAAGGAATTTGAGAAAATGGAAGCAGTAAAAATTTAAAAATAGGAGTGAAGCTTTTGAAATGCTTCCTGCTGTATGTTTACCCATTGCTTAAAAAAAATTAAATAGCAGTATTTCAGGCCCGGTGAAGTGGGGTCGTGTGGATTTAAGGTGGTCAAACTAACGGCATAAGCCAGTGCTAGTGTTCTGCTGTGGGAACACCACTGCTCTCTCTGCACTCTGGAAAACTACTATCATTTAAACATCACTTCTTTTACCTTTCTAATGTTCCTGTAGTCATTCTGGTGGAAGATCATTTAGTTACCTCTCTTGATTCTTGATCTGTTTAAAGCATGTCTCTATTTTTTCCCATTTAAGTATGAATGAAATGAGAGCTGAGAAAGTGGAGAAGAAAATAAGTAACCAGTTGGAGAAACTAAATAACCAATTGGCAAATCTCAAAAATATTATTCCAAAAGGCATCCTCTTCCCTTTCCTCTTCTCCCACAGAGACTCCTCAGCTGTGATGTCTCACATCATAAAGTTGATCGATCTCGTGTAATATTTTTATGGTGTTACTCCCCAGTCAGTATGCTGACATCCTGCTGTGGGAGCAGCCAGCCTTTCCTCTCTTGGAAAAGTGTGTAGTTTTTTCTTTCTCATCCGTAGTTTTACTGTTTATAGTGTTAGTGCTGCTGTATTGTGTGTAAATTAGCCCTTTTTAGTTTAGTTAGGGGCTTTGGGAGCCTGCAGTACCCATCGCACACTGCCAGATGCATTCCACAGAATCATAGAATTGTCCAGGTTGGGAGGGACCTTTCAGATCATTGAGTCCAACCATCAACCTCACTCTGATCAAAACCATCACCAAACCATGTCTCTAAGCACTAGGTCAACCTGGCTTTTAAACCCCTCCAGGGATGGGGCCTCAACCACTGCCCTGGGCAGCCCAGTCCAAGGCTTAAGAACCCTTTCCACCGAAACATTTTCCCTAATCTTGAATCTGAACCTCCCCTGGGACAACTTGAGGCCATTTCCTCTTGTCCCATGGCCTGTTCCTTGGGAGAAGAGACCGACCCCCCCTGGCTACACCCTCCTTTCAGGGAGTTGGAGAGAGCCAGAAGGTCTCCCCTCAGCCTCCTTTTCTCCAGGCTCAACACCCCCAGCTCCCTCAGCCTCTCCTCACAAGACTTGTGCTCCAGACCCCTCACCAGCTCCCTTGCCCTTCTCTGGACCCGCTCCAGCCCCTCAATGGCTTTTTTGTGGGAAGGGGCCCAAAACTGGACACAGCCCTCGAGGTGAGGCCTCACCAGTGCTGAGTACAGGGGGACAATCACCTCTCGGGCCCTACTCGGCACGCTGTTCCTGACACAGGCCAGGATGCTGGTGGCCTTCTTGGCCACCTGGGCACACTGCTGGCTCATCTTCAGCCCACAGGCCACCAACACCCCCAGGTCCTTTTCTGCCAGGCAGCTCCAGCCACTCTGCCCCCAGCCTGGAGCTGCCAAGGGCAGGGCCCGGCACTTGGCCATGGTGAACGTCATCCCATTGGCCTCGGCCCATCCATCCAGCCTCTCCAGATCCCTTTGCAAAGTCTTTCTACCCTCCAGCAGATCAACACTCCCACCCAACTTGGTGTCGTCTGTGAACTGACTGAGGGTGGATGGTGAGCAGTGACCAGAAGGAGAGCTGGGTTGAAGACTCAGAAACATTTAGATTTGTCCCTTCTCTTAGCAGCTGTCTTGCAATAAAATTACGCTGACAGGGCAAGGTGGGGGGCAGGGTTACTGTTAAACTTCCAAAAAAAAGAGTGGAACTGTGGGTGAATGAACCGCTAACATTTTTGCCTGCTCTCCCCCTTTTAGCTATGACAGAGGATCCACATTCAACGTGTTCGTGGGGAAAGGCCAGCTTATTGCTGGCATGGACAAAGCTCTGGTGGGCATGTGCGTGAACGAGCGGCGGTTGGTGATGATCCCCCCCAATCTTGCCTACGGGAGCGAGGGGGTCGGTAAGTACCGCCCCGGGCAGCCCAGAGCTGTGGCAGCGATCGAGCAGGGCGGACAGAGAATGGAATCACAGGAGAGAAGGGGTAGAAACTGCAAGTGGTGAATCTCAGAGGGGTTCTGCCCCACTCGGTGTGTTTGTGGAGCCTGCAGCCGAGTGGATCACTCCAGGCTCCCTCTGCCTGCTGGAGGAAGAGCTGTTGACTGCACCTGACTGCAGCTGACTGCAGTTGGCTATAGAGGGCCTTCAGTGAACCAACCTTGCTACTAAAGCTAACTATTTATTTGTACCTACCTGGCTGTGAGATAATTGCTGGTTTGGCATTGCAGTGCTGCAGAGGGTCTTGTTGGTGCCAAGAGCAGCTTTGCCCTGCAGCTTCAGAGGCAACAAATCATAGAATCATTCAGGTTGGAAGAGACCCTTGGGATCATCGAGTCCAACCATCTCCCCTACTCTACAAAGTCCTCCCCTACACCATGTCCCTCAGCACTGCATCTAAACGTCCCTTAAACACAGCCAGGGATGGTGACTCAACCACCTCCCTGGGCAGCCTCTTCCAATGCCCGACCACTTTTTCTGGGAAAAATTCCTTCCTAATGTTCAGTCTAAACCTCCCCTGTTGGAGCTTGAAGCCGTTCCCTCTTGTTCTGTCATTAATTACCTGTGAGAAGAGACCAGCACCAACCTCTCTACAGTGTCCTTTCAAGTAGTTGTAGAGAGTGATGAGGTCTCCCCTCAGCCTTCTCTTCCTCAAACTAAACAGTCCCAGCTCCTTCAGCCGCTCTTCATATGATTTGTCATATGCAGTTTGCCTGACAGATATGTTTGATAATGGTTCATGCTGCCAGATTTCCACCCTCCTGCCCCCCTGCTTTGTAGCTGCAGCAGTGACAAGGGGACAGGAGGATATGAGCGCAGGAAAGAGTAAGTTGTACATCATGGATTTTATGTAGGGAGTGAGTAGGTTGGTTCCCTTCTCTCTGCTGTCCTGTAGAAAAGGGGAGATGGAGCCGGTTGTGTTGGTCTGGTTTTGCAGCGGGTGTGATACCCCCCAACGCTGTGCTCCATTTCGATGTGCTTCTGATCGACCTCTGGAACTCGGAGGACGAAGTGCAGGTCCAGACTTACTTCAAGCCTGAGAAGTGTCCCCGGACAGTCCAGGTGTCTGACTTCGTACGATACCATTACAATGGAACCTTCTTAGACGGGACCCTGTTTGACTCAAGGTACGCAGCTGGGTTGTGCCTCTGTGTGTCTTTGAACAGCTATCTGGTGTCACACAAACCATGGCTTCCTTGCCCTTCACTGGTATAACAATTAGTGCTAATTGCCCAGACGGAGAATAAATGAAGGCTAGCATCATATAAGTGTCAGTAATTTATTCAGGGGTTACAGAACAGCAGTACTGAGTCAAACCAATAAAACAGTACATTATTTCTGTGTGAGCATTAGCAGCCCAGATCCTTTGTTTTTTAAAATTTCATTCCCTGGATCTGTATCACTATTTATTGCAGTCAGCTAATAGTTTCTGTAACCACTGCAGCATGGCTGTTCAAGTTAGATACAAGCGTGGGTTTTTTTGTGATGAAATTGAGCTACTAACACTTTCATACTGAGATTTCGAGTTTACGGCGGGTGTGTACTTCATTAAAGTTTGGTGGAAAATCATGCTTTAATAAGAGCTGCCATGATGTTCCTGACCTGCTTTTCCAAACCTCTGTTGGGTTCCTAAAAGAGCTCAGCAGCTGGAAATCACTGCCCAGCCAGCCCTTGGTAAATCAAGGAGCAGTGTTTTCAGAGCAGCAGATTGTGAGTTCTATTGTGTACAGCGTGTGGCTTCTGAAGGTTAATACTGCTCTTTCCCGTGGCATGGTTTTATGTTTCTTTTTGTTTTTTTTTTTTCATTTTTAGCCATAATCGGATGCGAACCTACGATACGTATGTGGGAATCGGGTGGCTGATTCCTGGTATGGATCAGGGTCTCTTGGGAATGTGCGTAGGAGAGAAGCGTATTATCACAATTCCACCTTTCCTGGCATATGGAGAAGAAGGAGATGGTAAAAATTACTCTTTTAAAAAATGTTTTACCCACGTCATCCGTATTATAAGACAAACTTGTGCTTTGTGTATTTTAAATTCATGGGCAATGTTAACAGCCTTTTCGGACAGACGGAACAACGTGATGGAAAGAGGGGTTCAGAATGTGTTATGTACAGGATTGGACTGATTAGAAAGTAAAAAAATTTTTAAAAAATGTGACCTGTAGGCTGCTTAACAGACATATTGTTGATGCAACAATAATCTTTATACACTGAAATTTTATTTCATTCAGAGAATATAATCTGTGGTTAATACCTAATGGCTCCAAAAACTGGAAATCAGGTGACTGCATAATTCTTTCGGTGGTTGCCACAGAGCAGCAGAAAACTTGAAAAAGAGAAAAATGGAGTTTTGGTTCCAGTTTTGTTCTTTTTTTTGGTAACCAATGTCCCAGTAATAATGACAAGGTGGATGAATTGCCCCGTGAGACTCTGTGCAGCCTGCAGGTCATGCATAAAGGTCTCCGTGTTAAATTGGGGGGCAGTTAGGTGTAGTTTGGAATGCTTCCTTAAATTCTTTCTCTGCTCTAATGTTTAAGAATGTGTCTGTGGTGTGCAAGGTTTTGTACCCCTTCTGTGACTTCATTACCATTGACTGGGATAGGCATCTCCATGGATAACAAAACTTTGTGGAGTTATGTTTTAAAATTTTGCCAAGATCTTGAGCTCAATCATTCTCAGTCGAAGCAACCCATACTATAATTTGTTTATTGATGGAAAGGTACTTTTTCACCGAGATACTCAATTTACCCCTCTTCAACCTCCATCATGTGGTTTCCTGTTTTCCTATTAACAGGATGGGAAGAACAGACGTACCAAATTTGTATTCTGATGGTTATTTTATACATTTTGATGAAGTGTGTTGGAAACGCTGGTGGACTACACCATGCAGCTCAGATGGAGCTGGTGTGTCTTGACTAAGGACGTTGCTGAACAGGCTGTTGGTTTTGGCAAGGCAGTGCCATCGCAGTGGGAACAGAATGAAATAACTGAGTTGGAGATTTGGTGAGGCAGTGCCATTGCAATGGGAACAGAATGAAATAACTGAGTTGGAGAATTAAGAGACAAACCCACACATGAAAAGAAAAAAGACTGATTAGAAGCAGATGATGCTAATTTATTTTGGGAGGGGAGGTGTCTGATATTTTTGCAGTGGGTTACTGTTCTTCGATAAACATGTTTATGCTCCTTACGGAACATCTGCTCTTTCTTACCCGTTTTCTGCTCTTAACACCTTTTGTAGGTAAGGACATCCCTGGCCAAGCTTCACTTGTCTTTGATGTGGTTTTGCTCGATCTTCATAACCCCAAAGATGGTATTGCTATTGAGAACCAGTACGTGCCTGAGTCCTGCGAGCGGAGGAGCCAGACGGGAGACTTTCTTCGGTACCATTATAACGGCACGCTTCTGGATGGCACGTTGTTTGACTCCAGGTAACTGGGCCGTTCAGCCCTACACATCCCAGTTCCAGTTTGTCTCCTCTCTCTTGTCCATAATGTACCCAAATAACAATTCTTTGGGTTTCCTTCCTTTTTGAAATTTGTGAGTGGAGTTAGAGTCTTCTCTTCTAAAAAAAACTCCTAGGAACCTTTTCAGTATGGGAAGGCAAAGGCTATTTTGTGTTATGACAGGATGAGGGACGCCATCTGGGGGTGAAGCTGCGTGTGCTTTGGACACACACTCCTGAAGACCCTTTGCCCCATACTGTTTATGTGCCAAATAGGTAATACTCCTGAAGAGAGAGAAAATGAACACAATTCCCATTTTGTATCCTGAGAACTGTGATTCAGTGTGCTAGTGGCTTCTTTGAGGGTTGACCTCAGGACAGCCTTTCCCTTTGTACTTGAAAACTTTGCATTTTGGCAGCTGATGTCTTTCAGGACTGAAGTCAACCATGGGGTCTCTGTGGTAAAGGAGGAGGGATTGCTCTCACTTCAGATTCAAAGTTCTCTGGGCACACGAGCCTCGTGTACAGAATTGTATGATGAATAGTACCCCTGCAGCTTCCTGTCACTTTTGTTTGCTCTTCAATGCGCTGTACTTTACTTGCCCACCCCAGCTTTCAGAACAGCTGGCACAATTAGCTAAAAGGAGTTGAAAACAAGCCACTGCAAAATGTTGTGCAAAGTAAACTAATGAAAATCTTTTTCATACTTTTACAACTGCTGCAAGCTGAAGATCAGGATCACTTTGCAAACATTAGCTATTAGTATGGCATGTGTGCTTCTTCCCATGAGGAGGAGTCAGGGAATTGCATCTTTGAATTAACTTTGACCCTCCCCATTCAGCTGCCCAGCCCAGTGGGAGGGATGAAAAGCAGGAGATCTGCATCAACAGCCATCACTGTAGACCCTAATTTACAACTTAGGAAAACTTATCAGTTAAGAACTTTAGACTTATCCATAGTGCACCTGCCCATCTCTTGAGAAGTAATGTCTATAGTAAATTAAAAAAAAAATTTAGTGGCTCTACTATTTATATTAGGGTTATTGTCAATAAATATTAATAAATGCTTTGTAGACAGTAGTCTCTAAATCATTCTTAAAGCACTGACAGTTGTTAGAGGTCTTATTTGTTAGTGTTGATCCTGGCTTCCTGCAGAATTTACGAGAAAAACCAGTATCTAACAAGTAACTATGAAGAAATAGAGCAGTGAACAATAGTTATTGAGAGCCTTGGAGCTGGCCAGGAAAAAAATTCTCCCTAATACAGAGAACATGCCAAAAGCACTGTGAATGGCAGGGGCCAAGAGGTCTAATAATCTTGTCCTTAATTTTTTTTCCCCTCTGCAGTATTCAGCTGCAGAACTGCCCCGGGCAGCCCAGCCAGGGCTGTCTGGACTTAGAGCAGTTGAATAACCCTCTGAATTACACCGAGGTCTGTACTGGTCTTGCTCTTCCCCAGAGTTACCTGGTAAAGAGGAATTAAAACCTTTCTGCCTTCCCTTCCTTGGGATGTGCCTTCACGTAGCACGCCTTGAAGAAAAGCAGCAGACAGACACATCCTTGTAATAAACATCATTTGCTGTTGTAGGCTTGTTTTGTTCTATCATTAGGTCTTGAAGCAGATCCTTCAACCTACGTCTCAGTGGCTGACGTCGTTTGGAGGGGAGGGACAGTATTGATACTGTTCTGTTGTCATGACTCATCATGCTGTGCAGCCCAGGAGAACCTATTCATTCCACCTCCTCCTTTCAGTAGTTGGACTACATAGCTGTGGTTGCAAAATGAGGTAGTCCGAAGGGTGTCTCATGAAAATGGATGTAAACTATATCTGGTTGATAAGCACTTATTAAAATAGAGTCAGAGCAGAGGAAAATTTAAAGGAGAAAACCAATTTTTTTTTCAGTTACTTATCAAAACATGTTTTCTGTTTAGTCTGAAATACATCAGTGAAAAAATTTAAAGGAGAAAACTAATTTTTTTTCAGTTACTTATCAAAACACGTTTTCTGTTTAGTCTGAAATACATCAGTGAGGTTTTCTTTCAAGATATAGCAGAAACATACTTGCAAATAAGCTGTTTCTGAGCCAGAGTCTCTGTGCTGGTTAATAAATGACACATCATCACTGACTGATAAAGCTTGGTGGCCCAGATTTGTTGAGTGTGGTGATTGCTTTGTCCTGCTCTGGTGCTAGTTAATGACCACGTGTTTGACCTTAACTGGTTTAAGAATTGTGTTGCAGACCTATTGCAAGATTCCATGTTTTCTTGAGTACACCTGATGCTACAAAAATGCAAATATTTTTCCTAGCTATTCACGAAATCATACCTATGACACCTATGTCGGGAAAGGTTATGTGATTGCTGGAATGGATGAAGGTTTGCTTGGTGTATGCACTGGTGAAAAAAGAAGAATAATAATCCCCCCTCACCTTGGATATGGAGAAGAAGGAAGAGGTGAGCTTGACTTTTCATTCAAATTTTCCATAATTTGTGATGTTTCCTTCATTGCTTGGTGCACCTGTGTGTAGCTCCTTTTTTTTTTTTTTTGGCATTTGAAAGACTTATAAATTGGTTCATTATTTTGTGGGCATGCAACTGACAGGATTACACTCAGAGTTTGCAAAATCATTTTAATTAGCTGAATAGGCAGCACATTAAAAATGTAGCACAATCTCACATGTAATTGGTGACCTGAAGTTATTTGGGTAATTAGTGTTTCAGGCAAACAGGTACTTGGTGACCTGATCTCATTGGGACAATTAGTGTTTCACACAGGGTACCAGGAGCTCTGCAGTGGGAGATCTTCCTTCCTGTGTGTCTTAACAAGGTCTGTGTGCTAAAGGAATCAATTGTGTTAAGTTTTCTTCCCCATTTCTTCCACAGCCACAGGTTTTGTGGACTCCTGAGCCGCCTCTTTAAATGGTGGGTGCATGTAACAGCAGAGTGTCTGTGTATGGATGACATACAGTTAAGATTCCTTTGGGAAAACTCATTGCTGCCTAAAAGGATTGCTGTAGGGGACTGCATACAGTAACCCTTCTAGCTGATCAGTTTTATGGCTGGTGTTTCACGAAGGTACCTCCTGGGTGTTATTTGTCAAAAAACGAGTTGGAAGATCAGCCTCAGTTCTGGGAATGCAAATTCTGTGCTGTTGGTTTGGGAATCAGGCTCCTCCAAACCCAAACCCCAACCCCGCCGACGGGTCTGGGTGTGTGTCAGCCCTGGCAATGCGGCCGCGCGTTGTGGTGGGAAGGGGGGAAGAAGTTCCTCGCTATCAGGACGTTTTAAGGAAGTGAAACCTTCTAGACAGAACAGAGCTCCGTGAAGCAGGAGATCAATATGATCAATAAACAGTTGGAACATGAAACACAAATCAGTTGTTCAGGATGGGCACAGGAAACACACGGCTGTTGCTTTGTTTCTGCGTAATTTTCAAATTCAGATTAACGAGCTTCACTGTTGGACTGGGCGCCTGTTCAGTGCTTTCCCACCGGTTCTCTTCCCTCCGTTGGGTGCAGGTTGCATCTCTTGCATCCAGAGGAGATGTAATCCTTTAATTCTGAGCAAGAAGAGCAAAGTGATGCGGTAGCAGACACAGTGGGAATATATATCCCTCCGGGGTGCAGCACCTGGTCGTCATAAGCCCGTTTGGGTTCCATTTCTTTCTCCAATTTGCTTCCTATTTAGGGAAGATCCCAGGATCTGCAGTGCTGGTCTTTGACATCCACGTGGTTGACTTCCACAACCCCTCGGACTCGGTCAGCATCACTGTTAACTACAAACCTTCCAACTGCACTGTGCTGAGCAAGAAGGGAGATTACTTGAAGTATCACTACAACGCTTCGCTCCTGGATGGTACTTTGCTGGACTCAACGTAAGTGTCTCAGCCGGTAAAGAAAAGTGTCCTTAGCAGCTGTGACAGCAGAATGAATTGCCTGCAAAGCGGGCTGGCAGGGTATAAAGAATTTCCAAGTGAAAAACCGAGTGTTTATGTAGGATGTGTTTTTCTTTGTACGTCTGCCTGCTTAAGAGATATAGGAGGAGGAAAAGAAAAAGGCAATCTATCACCGCAAAATGAAGGACCCGGGAGCAGAGAGGCTGCAGGAGTGTGTTGGAGAAGAACACAGTGCAGGTGGAGTGATGAGGCAGGTCGCTGGCAGGGCAGCCTGGTTAAATGGGTTAATTTGGGTGTCTGGGCCAGTCATACGAGAGCCACAGAGGGCTCACATGAAGGAACTGCCCACGCAGATTCAGTTTCTTGGCTGGGATTTACACTCTGCACTGATTCAGGGCTCCTGAGAGAGATCTGGTGGGGTACTTGGTGTAGTCTTGTTAAAGCTAGCCTAATTTTTAGTAAATGATGATTTACAGTAGATGTGTTTTACAGTCACCATCATACCTGTACCACACACAGGTGCTAATGTTCTGGGCTTGTAGTGTTGCAAACTGGTCACCATCATACCTGTACCACACACGGGTGCTAATGTTCTGGGCTTGTAGTGTTGCAGTAAGTGGCCACATGGAGAAACTACCAGAGGGCTTGATCGTGGCTGTGATGATCATGTTCCTCCTCTTCCTGTTGGCAGTAGGTTCATGAGACAAGCAGGTTGCTCCAGTCTGGCCTGTGTGGAACTGAAACGAGCCCATCGCACTGGCGGTTGCAAGAATACTTCTGCTAGGTGTTTTTTTCTGCCTTCATCTTTTGGAGAGTGCACATCATCTAAATAATGTTTTATTTTTGGAAGGGAAGTTGGGAAAAGTTATTTTGAAACAGTTTGTAACTTAACATAGGAAGGAGCTCATAGTTCTCACAGTGCACACAGCGCTCCAAAGCCGGCTTACGTTGAAGCACCCACTGTGCTGCTGCAGGCAGGTGTGTGTGTAAATAACCTGCTTGGATTCAAAACTCCTTTTCTGTGGCAGGAATGCTCAATTCCCATTTTGTAACCGGAATCAAGGGATGTCGAGATTGTCAGATTGTCTTACTCGGAGCATTTTATAGAGGATAAAAGATCATGAATCTCATGCTCCTAATTTTAAGGCTGACCCCTCAGCCACTGAATTGTTTTCTTCCCAAATACTGCTCTGTTGTGAGTATTGTGGTGTGAGCACGTCCTGCAGCGGTGCAGCCAAGGCAAATAAACACAGAAAGGAGACCCACGGAAGAAAAAGTCCTGCTGCTGTGACGCAGACCGAGTAAAAAGCCTTGACACTGCACTTCTAGAATCACAATGCGTGTTTAACTCCTGAGAATTTTAGAAATGAGCCACTGGCAGCAAGGTATAATTCAAAATACAATGTGGTTAAATAGCAGCAACAGTAGCAAGCTTCCAAGCTGTCTTGGTTAAGTGACTACTGTGTCATGGTGACTGATTTGGGCTCTTCACTACAGGAAGGACATTGAGGTGCTGGAGCGTGTCCAGAGGAGAGCCACCAAGCTGGGGAGGGGTCGAGAGAACAAGTCCTATGAGGAGAGGCTGAGGGAACTGGGCATGTTTAGTTTGGAGGAGGCTGAGGGGAGACCTCATTGCCCTCTACAGCTCCCTGACAGGAGGGTGTAGAGAGGTGGGGGTTGGCCTCTTCTCCCAAGGGAATAATGCCAGGAGCAGAGGAAATGGTCTGAAGTTGGGGCAGGGGAGGTTTAGATTAGATATTAGGAGGTCAGTCACTGGAACAGCCTGCCCAGGGAGGTGGTGGAGTCACCATCCCTGGAGGTATTTCAGGAATGTGTAGACGTGGCACTTCAGGGCCTGCTCTAGTGCCTGGGATTGTTGGGTTGGGGGTTTTGTTTTGTGTTTGTTTTGGTTTTTTGGTTTGGTGTTTTTGGGGTTTTTTTTGTGTATGGTTGGACTCAATGATCTCAAAGGTCCCTTCCAATCGTGAAGATTCTGTGATTTCACTAAAGGGATGGCTGATCCACGTGAATGCACCTGGATCCATATGGGTTTGTAGTTCTGGGACAAATGTACATCTGGAATTTTTACGTCTACTAAAAAGTCCAACTTCATTGTTTAAACATATGTGAAAGGCAAAAGCCCTTATTTTGAGATAAAATGCTTTGAGGGCTTAATTGGCAGGATTAATGAGTTTAATTTGATTTCATTCAAGAAGCCTAGGATTTTAGTACCAGAGGACTTGTCAACAGTAGGGACAATTCTGTTTGATGCTGGCTGTAACTTGCTCCCTTGAGAACAACTTCAGGTAACTGCTTGGTAGAACGGAGCATTGGGCATGAAGTTAATTTTTGGCAATGATTAACTGTAACCTGCTGCTTCTGTGGTAATTTTGAATAACAGAAATTCTCAGTTGTGTGTTGACTTATTTATTTTTTTTCTCTGAATTTTTCTTCCCTTCCTCTCCAGACACAGCCTTGGCAAGACCTACAACATAGTTCTGGGATCTGGACAGGTGGTGGTGGGCATGGACATGGGCCTTCAAGACATGTGTGTCGGGGAGCGACGGACAGTTGTTATCCCACCCCATCTTGGGTATGGAGAAGATGGAGTTGGTAAGTGAGAGAAACCTGCTGCGCGTCCACCCAGTGTCTCTTGAGTAGCTGGAACACAACGTGCTTGTTCTGTTACCTGCTACGCATGAGAACATCAGGTGGGCGTCTCTTAGCTGCTCAGATGGGTTTTTTTTAGAGGATTTTAGTTTCATTATTTTATACAACCCCTCCATGCTCCAGTGACATGAACAAACTGTGTTGTTTGAAGTCGTCCTGTCGCTGTGGCCAACAGAAAGGCCGTCCCAGTTCAAAAGGGAACACACGCCACCAGTAACTCCAGTGGCTTTATCAAAATGGCGAGCTCCAGGCACTCTGGCGTTGCAGAGGGATGGAAACACTCTTCTCCCTGACAGAGAATTGGGGTAACCAGGCTTGGGCATGTGACATTATTCAGGAGACATAACTGGAGGGGACTGTTCAGCACTAATATGTTAGAAAGTGCAAGGAAAACTCAAAACTGGGAAACTACCTGAGCTGAATGCAAGGTGTGAAACACGCTGTCGGTGCTGCTGAAACCCCACAACTGATGCATTTCAAGCAGTTCTAGAGCGTTGAGGTTTATAAATTTTTAATGACAGGGACAACAATAATAAAAAGAACAATATGGAAGTGACAAGAAGTCTCATTGCCCTGTATCTCTGGTTGTGACTGGTCTTCTCAGTCAACAGGCATGAGGGAAGGGCGTCTATTGAGAGACCACCAAGAGCCACAGACCCTGATTGGAATGGAAACAGCTGCATAAGTTCCTGTGTTCTGTGAATGGCTCCAGAACAGTTTGTATTTTATAAAGGCTGTCTGTTGGGCATCATGTGCCAACCTTAATGGACAATTAATTTGTGAGAAGAGCATTTTCACTTGCTGGCTTCCATGAAAAATTATATTATATAGGCAGCATTTTATACTATTATATCAAATTGTATATTTATAGATAATAAATATAACCTAAAAAGTTTGCTGTGTTAAAAAACCTTATGAACATAAGTGTCATAGGCATTTGCCATCATTCAAATTGCATGTGATACACGTGCTTTGAAACATCACGTGGGTGTTGGTGTCTTGGCATGTACCCAGACAGTCTGAAGAGATGCTTCTTTGTGACTGGTCACAAATTGGAGGTGACCTCAGTTTTCTTTTTCAAGAATAAATTAAGCCCCTTCCATGGTTTCGTTGAGGTAACATCCCGAGCTGTCGCAGCACTGCTGAGTCTGGCAGTTGCACCTTGATATCAAGGTGATATATCAGTGATATGTAAGTGAGATAAAGGAAATGGATTAATTCCCACAGTTTTACCTTTATAAATGAAAAAAAAAAAAAAAAAGGGTGCAGTCTTATTATAAAATATTCCTTTATGTTTTGATGACTTCTGCTGAAGTGAACAGGAAGATTTGGTGGGCGGGGGGTCATGGGGTTTGGGGGTCACAGTAGATGAGCAGCTGCTGGAGCAGGAAGAGAAATTGAATTACGGACTAAAAGGAAATAGACACTGGATGTCAGTGAGGATAAACACCCCTCTCTGCCATTTGTTGTGACAGAAGGAGAGGTGCCTGGCAGCGCCGTGTTAGTTTTCGACATCGAACTGCTGGAACTGGTGTCTGGTTTGCCTGAAGGGTACATGTTTGTATGGAACGGGGAAGTGTCTCCCAATCTCTTTGAAGAAATAGACCAGAATCATGATGGAGAGGTTCTCTTGGAGGAGGTAAGCTGAAACAATGAAAATGCTTGCAGTGGTTTTCTCCTACCACTGTCAATGCAGATGTTGAAGAATGGGGTCTCTCCTCGTCTCCTCTTCTTCTGAGAGGTGTTTGTTGTCAACAGGAAGGCAGCATGTGTATTAAAACATGGTTATTTAGCTCTAGAGATAGAACCAAAAAGAACAAAGAAATCCCAGAATGGCCATAGTATGTAAGAACATTCACTGTTGTGGTCTCCTTGGCCAACAGCAGGTGCTCTGGGCGCGGGTACGATGGCAGAGTGCCGTGTTCAGTGAGCCCTGGCTGTGCCCCTTCACAGTGTCTGCTCTCCAGAGGTTTATGGTGAATTCCTAAGCCAAGGCTGAACCTGGAGCTGGGCATCCAGGAACTGGCTCATGGCTCCTGGAGCCTGGCAGAGCTGGGTCTACAAGTCTCCTTCCCCTCGCTCGCCTTTAAAATCTGTGATGTGAGAGTGTCGTTGGGTGCCCTGATTGAAATCCACGTGCCTTTGCCACACACTCTCTGATAACACGAACCTCCCTGAGGTTTCCTCCTGGGCTTGCTCTTAACTGAGGCGTTCTGTTCTTTTTATTCTCTGCTTCAGTCTTCTTGGTGGCCTTTGTCTATGGTTCTGTTTTCTGTCCTTGCCTGTGGGAGTAGTGCTGCCTGCAGCTCTCGGGGTGCAGGCTGTGGGCTGAGGAAAGAGCATGAGATGCCTTCCAGCATTTTAAGAAGCCAAGGGGGTAAATCAAAATCTTGTTTTCCTTTTTCCTAGCTCTCTCTTACACCTCTTTGTTTTCCTTCCTTCTCCATCTTTTCTCCTTACCTCCACCTGTGGCCTTGCAGTGAAGAAAAGAGCTTTCACCCGTCTAGAGAATGAGTGAGGTGGGATGTGACTGTTTTATCCACATCTTTCTGGTCACCCAGCAAGAAGGAGGAGGCGGCCTAGAAGGTGTCAGTGAATGTCAGACACAGCTCTCTGTGCTGGAGCTGATTTAACAGGTAGCACCAGAGATAACAGTAAATGGAAAAGTAGTGTTTGATTGTGGACTTTCTGCTTTTGGAAAGCCAGCAGTGTGCCTTCTGTCAGGTGCTGTCTAATCATTTTGAATAACTGCATCACGTGCACAAGGGAAGGGATTTTTAGGGAAAACTGGCCTTGTAACTTTGCAGCCTTCCCCAGCACCGAGACAGGTGGGAGGCGTAATGCCTGACGCTGCTTTAACAAACATCATGGCATCCTGATACCTCAAGTCTCTTTTCTGTGTCTCATTCTTTATTCTCCTGTGCTGTTTCTTGTGAGAGGCAGGTGGATGTCTGGGTTCCAGTGTGAGCTTCTTGTGTTGGCACATGAAATTAACCCCCTTCTGTCCATGTAGATCTGTTCCACGTCACTCCCTGTTCCACTCATCTTCCCCCAGGATTATGAAAAAGAACTTTTTTGTTATGGATGCACTGGAATAAGTGAGGAAATCCCTGTTGAGCTTCACAGAGAGTGATTTAACCTCATGTGTCTGTCCTAATTATTCCAATTTAGGTTACAAGCTTTATGAGATAGTAACAGTGTGCTAATTCCATACACCTAATAATGAGCAGTAAAATGCTAAAGAGTCAGTCCAATTTAGGTTACAAGCTTTATGGGATAGTAACAGTGTGCTATTCCATACGCTTAATAATGAGCAGTAAAATGCTAAAGAGTCAACAACAAATACATGCTATTTTTGTAAATACTCTTCAGTTTTAAATGGCTGTTTCACTGTGAGCTGCTTTCTCCTCCTCTCTCTCCACCTAGTTTTCAGAGTACATTCAAGCTCAAGTCGATTCTGGCAAAGGAAAACTCGCTCCTGGTTTTGATTTTGAAAAGATTGTTAAAAATATGTTCACCAATCAAGACCGGGACGGAAATGGGAAAGTCACCGCTGAAGAATTCAAGTTGAAAGACCAGGAGGCCAAAGAGGAACACGATGAACTGTAAAGCCAAGAAAACAAAAGAAGTGTCCTGAGCTGATCTACTGTTGGAAGGCGTGTGCTGGAAGAGGTCTCGGCAAGAATGTGTCTGAAGGGTCAGCACTCACCTCCAGACCCGGGTCTGCCCCTGCCTGCGTGCCGGCAGGCTGCTACATTGGAAGAGATTGGCAGTTGGAATTGTTGGGTATATTTGAAAAAAAAGTGTTCAGGATGTACAAATGGTGGCTAAAGAGTGTAGTGCCGTGCCTGGTGTCACCAACCACGTAATGTGGTGTCATTTTTGTGCTAAAGATTAGAAGTCATCATTGAACAATACACGGTCACTTGGATGGGAAGGAGGGAGGGAGGGAGGGAGAAAACTTACTGAGTGCTTTTAAAAGAATTTTAAAAAACCTTATGTATCCAAAATATTTCTGCAGGAAAACAAAATAGAAAATATTCCCATGAAAATAACTGGTAAAAATTGTCCAGGCATGAGCGCTCTTTCAGGGACTGAACAAACTCATACAAATATTTGCCAGCAGGAGCTCTGATCTGCAAATTACAGACCACAGATGATAGTTATGCCATTGCAAAATTTCCATAAGCTGTGAATTAAATTAAACAGGCCTAGAATTGTAACCGTGTGTGTGTCGGGTTTTTACCTTACGAAATAAAAAATTTGCTACTTTCTGCATTGTGTTTAATTAACGGCCTTGACTCTTCTTGCTGGCCTGGTGAAACAGTGTTCTGATCAGCCCTTCCCAAACCTTTCTAGTTGCAACCTTATTTATAGTTTTGTTAGACTTTAAATATTAGTCTTACGGGGTCCAAATGCTGTCGTAAATGCTGGGTGCGATGGATTTTTGCATTGGGCTTCTGCCTCCTATTTTGGGAATTGTTATGCTGAGGAGTAGGTGGGTAGAGCTTGTGCAGGAGGGCAGCCTGGCGTGGGGAGCAAACAAAGTGACAGTGACAGAGTCAAGAAGCAGAACCATCTGGTTTTGGCGGCGGGGGGTTCTCTGTACAAAACCAGCCCTGGGAGTGCTCTTTGGGTCGCAAAAATTCCCCAGTGAGGTCTATAAAGGTGGTGAGCTGTTGAGCAGAGGGTGCAGGGAGCAGAGCCCCTGTGCTGCAGGGCTGGGTGGGTGCCCCTCATGGCAAGGGCACAAATCCCTGCCGTGTGGCGCGGCCGAAGGCAGGGAGAGGGGAGCTGTGTCTCCATCACACGCTCTGTCCCCGCCTTCCTGCCTCTCCGGGTCTGTGCGTGGGGGCTGTGAGCTCCCTGGGATCTTCTTTCTCAAAACCGGTATTTCAATGGGGTGGAAATATTTTGTATATCGGGTTTTAGTACAGTTGTTATAGAAAGTGCAGTGAAAGGTTTGGGGTTTTTTTTTTTGAGTTTGATACCATTAAATGTTGGATAACTGATCTTTTTGTTAAATAAAATGTTGATCAACTATTACTGTTAAACTGTCTTTTTTTTTTCCCCTGGCACTTTCATGGGTTGGGAACTTGAGTTTTTTGAGAATCTGAGAAGCAAATACCCTTCCTGCAGCTCTTCTTGTGCTCACAGCAGGCTCTGTGTTTTCAATATTGCTATTAGCCTTCAGGAAAAATGTTTTAAACTAAAATTATTTGATTCACGTTCCCTAAATTCCCCGTCACCGTTGGGAGGGTGATGGTTCTCTTGGTTGGGGATCAAACTCTCACACTGAAGGAAATTGTCTTACCCAAGCAACAGCCTCTCATTCCCCAGGCTGGCACAAGCAAACTCATCTTTGTAGCTGAGATCTGAAGTTTTCATTTCATCTGTAGCTCCAAACCCACCTCTATGGCATGTAGAATGCTTAGTTCCACCTAAACATGAGGAGGAACTTCCCTGGCAGAGGCTGCCCAGGGAGGTGGTGGAGTCTCCTTCTCTGGAGACATTCAAACCCCACCTGGACATGCTCCTGTGGGACCTGCTCTGGGTGGACCTGCTTTGGCAGGGGGTTGGACCAGATGATCTCCAGAGGTCCCTTCCAACCCCATGGGATTCTGTGATCCTGGGAAATATTTGCTGCCTCAAAGAGCAAAGTGATTTTTTTGACGCAGAAAGTATCTATTTAGAGATTGTCTTACATTTGATTAAGATAACTTAGAAAAATAGATGATGACTCTTCAAGGGTCGTTAATAGCTGGATGAAAAATGGATGATTGTAACTAATGAGAGACTCCCCAGGAGTCAGGCTGCTGCTCCCTGTCTGCTGAAGATCCGAGGGCTGTTCCCAGCGCTGGGCTGAGGAAAGCAAAGGTTGGCAATTACCTACCGCAGCGTCAGCGGCTCAGAGGAAGAGAAAAGGTGTGCCCAGAAAAATCCAGGTATTTATAAATGGTTCCTTCTGTGTGATTTTTCTGCCCTAACTTGACCAGAGGTTCTTCCTGCTGTGTAACTCTGCATGTTCTAAGTGTATGAAAAACATCACACTTAATCAGAGTTTGTATTTTTTGAAGTCATCGGACTCAGATATTATTTTCTTTCAGTGTGAAAAAATATTCACATTTCCCTTTAAGCTAAAAATTGGCATCTTCAGCTAGCTCCTGGTGCAGGCCTTTGGCTCGGTTCGGGACGATGAGAGCGTTTGACAGTAAGAGGACATTTGAGCTGGCTGTGACACCCGCTCCGAAGGAGGAAACATTTTTAGCTCAATAAAGGTCCCAAACACTTGCCCTTGGAGATGTGCTACAGGCAGAAGCGATACTGTGAGTAGAGATGGGGGGAGTGGAAGTAACAAATTCACTTTGCTGCTTTTAACTTTAGAAATACTCTTCCAGCTGTGGGAAAATGGCCTGGGAAATGTATGATATCTTTCTTTCCAAGCGAAATCATAAATGAAATATAGTTTCAGGGTTGCAAAATGTTTCTAGTTATGAATTTGATTTTGAAAGACATGCTGTGAAGAGTGTCTCTTGCCTAAAACTGACTGCATGACTCTGGATGGTGTTTATGAGCGTTAAGAGTTGCTGAAGAAGAAGGATTTAACTTGTAGCCCAGGTGTTAATTTTGTTTGCCATTAATTTTGTTCATGCTTATGGAGAGGTGACTGACAGTAGCCATTCTCATTTCTAGCCAACGGAGCAGTGACAAAGGCTGGGGTTTTGAGAAGCAGGTATCTAAACGTGCATCTTGTGTTTTCCATTAACTGCCACCTCAGCACGAGTCACGGCTGGCAGCGAGATGACGAAAGGAAATAGAGAATCTGTACAGCCCCGTGTAGGCTCTTTAAATCTGACCTCCTGGTTCAGGTTGATCATGTAAGTAACTGGTTTTTTCTAGAAAGCGATATGTCTGGCACTTCAAGAAGTACATTATTACTCTGTGTGTGGAAATGAGTTCTATATCAGATGCTTGCAACGTGGCTGAGTTGCTCTCGTGTCCTAGCAAAGGCTTTACTGTTCCAGCGGGCAAAATCCACGACTGACAGGATTTAATGACAGAAGGAGAAAGGGTGCTGGAGATCTTAACTTACCCACCTCCTTGAGGAGGGATGAGAATCGTTTTCTTCAAGTGATTGTCATTGTGGACTGAACCTCTGGTGACTGACAATTCGTTATCCATCTGGTTGGAGGCGAGACTGGAAAACCTTCCTGATAAACTGCTTGAGAGATGGTTGTTTGATCTGAAATCCTCTACCAAGGCAAAGACTTTTAAGTGTCCACGTGGCTGGGGAACCATCAAGTGATCACTTGTGGTACACTTGGGCTCCAGCACAGCAGGTTGGGTATTGTTTCAGTGACTTGGGTTAAGATCAAGTTGGAGATCTGTTTTGGTAACTGGTTTTATGGATCCTGCCCACTCCTTTTCCGTAGTGCTCTCATGGGTTTTTTTTGTTTTTTGTTTTATTGTGGGTGGGTTGAACAATGAGATCCTCATGACGCTGAAGGAGCGATGGTTTGCTTCCTGGAGGGCTGAGTGAGGCTGAGGAGAAGTTCTAGAGGGGAGGCTCAATGAGCTCATGTGAAATCCCGAGACAAGCTGGGTGAGAACATCCAAGAGGGATCCAATGGGACAGTCCTGCCTCTCGGAAACACTACCTGGAGAGACCAGAATTGCCCCCAAATTGTCACTGACACTGGGATGGCTGGGGAAATCTTTATACTTGAAGCCAGAAGGATCTTGTGCCGGAGTGTGTGTTGCTGGCACATCCTGTGCTGTGGAGCTGTGGGCTTTCAGCCGCTCCTCACATACCCTCCATCTTATCTGGGTTCCAAAGGTGACCAGCCCATAAACCGAAAATTCTGTCCCAGTGTAAACTTTGGGAGTAATGCCTGGTAATTAGCCCCTTGCACCTGGCGACTGGTTGAGCAAGCAGTGCATCCAAACACCTCGGTGTTTTGCAGAAGGCCTTTGCCTTTTGGACTTTCTTTGGCAAACCCACCAAAACCTCACCCCCGCCTTAAAACCTTGACATTAGCTCAGCTGACACAAACTGTGTAGGTGCCTAAAGCCCAGAATGTAGCCTGTTAAAGAAGCTGTGTCTGCTGGCTCCTCTGGAAAGGCGGCAGCGTTCCCCGAGGCCTGGGCCTTGCCGTGCCCGGGGGGTGCAGAGCCCCCAGGCTGATGTCCTGGGGGAGTCACAAATAACATCACTCAATGGTTATCTTGCCGGTGGTGCCAGACCCGTAGTGCTGGCAGAAGATGACTGCACAGAGGGTTGCTCCCTCTCTCACAGATCAGCAATGCCACCATCCCACCCTCCTCCCTGTCTCGGGCAAACAGGGGAGAGAGGGCAGAGGGAGCGGGTGTGAAGGTTGGCTCCATGGCCCATCCAAGCAGGAGAGGACCGGGAGGGAGTGTGGACCTCGGGCACTGAGGGACATCCTTCCTGCCCGCGCCTGCAAGCCTGTCTCCTCCCACAATGGCTGGCATGTTCCAATACGCTCCCTCCTGCTCTTCTGGGACAACTTGTGAGGTGGATGGAGTCCTGGCTGTGTGACAGGACTCAGAGGGTTGTCATTAATGGAGTAAGGTTGAGTTGGAGGCCTGTAACCAGCGGTGTCCCCCATGGGCCAATACTCAGCCCAGTCCTGTTCATGTTATTCATCAACGACCTGCATGAGGGGACAGAGTGTATCCTCAGCAAGTTGGCTGATGATCCCAAACTGGGAGGGCTGGGGGACCCTCCAGAGGGCTGTGCTGCCATCCAGAGTGACCTGGACAGGCTGGAGAGCTGGGCAGAGAAGAACCTCATGAGGTTCAACATGGGCAAGTGTAGGGTCCTGCACCTGGGGAGGAAGAACCCCAGGCGCCAATAGATGTTAGGGGTGGACCTGCTGGAAAGCAGCTCTGAGGAGAAGGATCTGGGGGTCCTGGTAGATAGTAAACTGTCCATGAGCCGTCAACGTGCCCTTGTGGCCAAGAGGCCAATGGGATCCTGGGCTGCGTAGGGAAGAGTGTGGCCAGGAGGTGGAGGGAGGTCATTCTCCCCCTCTGCTCTGCACTGGGGAGGCCACAACTGGAATCCTGCCTCCAGTTCTGGGCTCCCCAGTTCCAGAGAGACAGGGAACTGCTGGAGAGAGTCCAGCGTAGGGCAACAGAGATGATGGAGGGATTGGAGCATCTCCCTGATGAGGAAAGGCTGAGAGAGCTGGGGCTCTTGAGCCTGGAGAAGAGAAGGCTGAGGGGAGACCTTCTTCATGCTTCCAAGGATCTAAAGGGTGGGTG